GCAGTGCTTGGCTCTACAAAACAGTATTTTGGGGCTTGACCCCTGCAGATGGGGATTAACTGTCCTTGCTCACAGGTGGGGTTCCTAAGGGCCAGCTGGGGTGTCCTGTGTGTGTGGCCAAGGTGTGACTGTGTGTGGGGGTTTTGACTGACCCCCACGGATGCTGGCTGTGCCAGTTGGACCCACTGAGGGCAGTGGTGGGTGTAAAAGCTTCACCCTATTTAATGGGAATGGCAGCCCCAAGCCTGGCAGGAGATTTTGGAGCAGGTGACACATCACCACAGCCACTTGCTGAGGGTGGGAGAGAGCAACTGTGGGTCTCCAGCTCCTTCCACTGAAATGGTTTCTCTGCTTTGGAAAAAAAGAAAAAGACTGGGGTCACTCAACACCACAAGATGCAGTGGAAAAGGAGTTTTTTTCTGCATGAGATTTAACTGCAAGATTTGAGCAAAAGCATGTCTGCAGGGGAGGGTTGGAAGGACCAGGTGGCCAGGCAAAGCAATAGGGAATTGCATCCCAAGTTGCTTGGCACTGCTGGAGCTTCCTGCCTTCTTGTGTGTTCAGGCTGTGCCAGTTTTGTGACGTTTCCCTAGATTATTTCAGTCTAAACATTTTGGGTTAACATAAATCTGCTGTTTTAAACGGCTCAAATTCACCTGCTTGTTTGGATAGAATGAGATCAGAACAGCTGAAGTGTTTGGGAGAGCAGATCTGGGATGGCAGGAGGCTCTGGCTGGGAAGCAGCTGGGGCATCGTGCTGTCCTGGGCCAGCTGGATTCTGGGCTCCAAGTGCTCCAGGCCATCTCTGGGGGCATCGTGCAACGTGCTGAAGTTGCAGCACATTTTTGATTCCTGATTTTTCCTCCAGGGCTCTGCTGGAACATTAAGCACACATCCAGCTGCCGGGGTGGGCTCTGTGGGGCTCTCCCAGCTCCAGGGTCACTTTTCCAAAAGAGGGACCACGACTTCCAGAAGGGTTGAACAAGGTCCTGCTTTGGCGTGGGGTCGCTTTAGGGACCTGCCAGCTGGGAATCTCTTCACCTTCTCATGAGGGCTCTGCTGGCTTCACCCAGGGCTGTGTGACCTCATTTAACCTTTTCCATGTGTTTAAAGTGGGTTTTCCAGCCTGGCACCATGTGAGGGTGAGGCTGGTCTCTTGCACAGCCTTGCTGCTGGGTCAGGTCATCAGAATCCTGATGCTTCCCACCCTTCCCTCGAAGTCTGGGTCCTCTTTTTTTGCCCTATTTTGTTCCCCTAGCATGGTGCTGTGGTTCCTTCCCGGTTTTCCAGTGCATGACTCGGATAAGGAAGGGTTTCCCCCTTGCATTGCAAAGCAGCTTAAGGACCCTCCTGTACCTTGTAGAGCAGAGCAGGAGGAGGCACAGCCTCAGCAAGGTGGATTCTCTGCCTTCACAGGGAAGAGATGTCCTCTCTACCGTTTCATGGAGATTTGAGCTGGAAATGGGCTGTGAATGGAAGGGAAGGTCCATTTTGGAGGGAGTGTGAGTGCTATCTAATGTGAACAATCACTAAACAATAAGGTTATTTAAATGCAGATCTGTAAATCTCACCTCCAGCTGCTGATCCACCTGCTCATTAGTCCTCAGTGTCATAATTGCTTCACAACAGACTGCTTTAAATGTCTGTTTCCCCGTGGTAATTGGGGATGGGAAAAGGAAGAGTGCTGTGGAAGGGTAGGACAGGCTCTCCTGTCATCTGCACAGCAGGACAGAAGGAATCCCAGTGAGGATCAGGGAAGGAATTGCTTCCCTGGCTTCAGTGCGAGCAGTGGGCTGGAATGGTCTCAGAGTGTTTAGTAACATGTCAAGTTTTATTCTACACAGAGCAAAAGGGTGGTGGAAATGATTTGGACAGTTTTTGTGTCCTGGTGTGCATGTGTCCCCCTCTTGCCTGGCTGCTTTTGGGCACGGAACTGATGATAAACCAAGAAAACCGAGTGTTTCCATGTTGGGCAGCACCTGACTGCCAGCAGGAGCCTGTGAGCAGCTGTAACACGGCCGAGGGAGCAGTGGGGCAGAGAAGCAGGACCAGGTGGTTTGCTCTTGATGGGAAGGTCTTGTGAAACCTCCTGCGTTCACCTGCGTGGTTGCAGCTCTGGCAGTGAAACTCCACCCTGGGAAGGTATTTGCTTTGACAGCTGGGCCTGGGCTGCAGGAGCTGCTGGAAGAGGTTCTGGCAGGAGCAGTCACATGTGGCTTCTCCCCACCCTCTCTGCTCTTAGCTGCTCCTCCTTTGGAGGCACCGTGTGTCTCCTGCAGTTTCGGCTGGTCCTTTCATGTCCTGTGCTCCTCCCTGGCTGTTCCGAGGGGACTGTGGCAGGGGAATGCTTGTCATTCTCCTTCTAACTGGAAATGGAGACATTCCAGGGTGCCGAGGGCTCTTCATTAATCCCTGGAGCTGATGGTTGCGTTTTCTTTTAATAACTTACTGCGCTTAGCGCTGCACTCTGACATCTTGGGAGGTAGGCAGCACATTAGTGACATTCCTCAGAGCAGCTCAGGGAAGAGCAGATATAAGGCTAGCTTGGTACTGCTGCCTTCAGCACTGTTCTCCTTGGAAAGGTGAGGGAAATGCCTTTGGTGACACTTGGGCTTCAGATTCCATCTGCAGCCGGTGCTTGGCAAGCACTCGTGCCTGCCTGGAGAAGTTTGGGAATGCTCTGTTGAGCACAGTGAATACTGCTCGTTAAAATTGCATGTGCAACTCCAGGGCTATTGCTCTGGTCTCTGAAGAAAGTGCTTCTAAACATGCAGACAATTCCTCTTGGGTTTCTGGGTGCTCAAAATGCCTTTCTGCCCTTCCCTGCCTGCCCCCCCACTTCCATCCACCCTCCCTCCATCCCTGCAGAAAATCACAGATCAGTGCTGCCATCATGTATGTTATTTTCCGCCCAATTTCTCTCCTGTTATGAAGTCAGGGTTGTTGGTTTTTTTTTTTGGTTTTTTGTTTTTTTTTGTTTTTTTTTCCCTTAATTTAAAAGCATCTCAGATGCTGAATTGATCTTGCTTTTTCAAACAAATGTTGGCTGGCATCAGCTTTTGACTGGTTCAGAGTGAGGGACTTTCTGTTATGGGGCTGATTTAAACAAAAGTGCAACCAACAGGTAAACAGTGGCTCAAACATTCCAGTTTCCCTCTGTGTTTGGGATCTTCCATTCCGTTTGTGCTGACTGGAAAAGTGGGGTCTGGCACCGTGGTGGCCTGAGGCTACGCAGGAGCCCGTGGCTGTGGCTGCCTTTCTCACTTTCTGGGGTCTGAACTCTCCTGCTGGGAAGCACTACAGGGTTGCAGGTAGAGCTGCATCAAACAATGAATTTTTTTGGTGGGTTTTTTTCCCCCTCTGTCCTGAACAGGAATCTGCTTTTCACATCAGGGCCTGTATCTGCAGTGGAGGTTTGTGGGATGCAGATGATACATTATTACCTCTTTATCCTGTGTGTGAAGAGGCTTTCTCCTAAATTTTTCCCCGATCTCTTAGTCTCAGGAGATGGGATTCTTGGCTGAGCTTTCCTGTTACCCTGTTCTGCAGGCACATTACACTTTCAGGCTTGTCTGAAGTTGACTGAAAGGTCTGTTTGCTCCCAAGCTCCACAACGTGTGACTTGGAGGCTCCAAGAGAAGACACCTGGGTGCAGTTTGTGTCAGGGCTCTCCAGCCTGCTGGGCATGGTGGGGCTGCAGCACGTCTCTCTTCTCCACAGGATTTTTTCCATGGAGCTCTGCAGTGCTCCTGTCTCTAGTGCTGAAGCTGAGGGATTCTGGCTCTGGAAATCCTGCCATGGAGTGGGCACCAGATGGCTTCACTTAGCTTGTGCACACTGATTTGTTTTTTTGCTGGCAGTGCTAGATTCTGCTCATTGTAAGCACTTCTCTGTGTTCCATCAAACACCCCAAAACGGCAACATCAGGCAAGGCAGGATAAATAGTCCCCAAATTAGTATTTTGTGCTCTGTTCTGCTTCAAAAGTGGGTCTTTTTGAGTTGGGGTTGGGTTTTTTGGGTTTGGTTTTTTCACGTGTCCCTTCCCGCCTCCGTGTCCCTCTTGTGCTGCTCTCCAGAGACTCCTGTGCAGTAGGTGGAGCACAGGCCTGTATTGTGTCGCTTTCCTGTGCAGTTGTTGCTCTTGGCCAGCTTTGCTGCCCTTATTTATAGAAGGAAAATCAGAGAGGGGAAAATCCAGCACATCCAGCTGCTGGAATGGGTCTGGTGATTTCGGGGTGCGGACAGTTGTGGATGTCAGCGCGGTGGGCTGGAGCGTGTCTGTGGTCATGAACTTGTGTCCAGCACCAGTTGCTTCCAAATGAAGATGAGAAAATGTAAGGAAGTGGTTTGTGTTCTGTGACACTGCAAAATTCAATTAATATGTGGCTGAGGGAACTGGGAGGACTCAGCCTGGAGAAAAGGAGGCTCAGGGGGGACATTCTCACTCTCTCCAGCTCCCTGACAGGCAGGTGCAGACTGGTGGGGGTGAGGCTCTGCCCCTGGAGAACAGAACAGAAGGAAACAGCATCAAGTTGTGCCAGGGAAGGTTCAGGTTGAATCAGGAGGAATTTATTCGTTTAAAGAGTTATCAGTCCCTGGCACAGTCTGTCCAGGGCAGCGGTGGAGTCCCCATCCCTGAAGATGTCCAGGGAACAAATGGACATGGCACTCAGTGCTCTGCGCTGGTGACAAGGTGGACATTGCTCACAGATTGGATTCAACAGTCTTGGAGTCTTTTCCAATCTTAATGATTCTGGGGTTCTGTAATCTTTGTCTCATCAGGAAGGCCCTTACCAGTTTCCCTTTGCCCTGTTTATGTTGAGAAGCCCACTTGTGTCTCCCCAGGCTGATGTGAGGGCTCCGTGGAGCCACAGACACTCTTGTTCCCTTTCCTGCCTGAACGTGTGCCACCATTCCCAGTGTGGTGTGGGTTGGTGGGAGATGGCAGCTGTTACCTGCAGCACAGAAGTAATTCTTTATTCTTTTCCTTTTCTGTGCAGCTGAAGAGGTGGATCACACCCCAAGTGATGCCAGCATGGGGGTAGATGTTTTGGAATCAGGTGACACCACGCCTCCTACAAAGAGGAAAAGCAAGTTCTCAAGCTTTGGCAAGATTTTCAAACCCTGGAAGTGGAGGAAAAAGAAAAGCAGTGACAAATTCAAGGAGACTTCAGAAGGTAAAGTAACAGGGCCCGGGTGGGTGTCTCTGCCTCCATCCATCTGAGAAGGGCTTGCTGTCACAAGCCTGAGTGCTGACATGTGTAAGAACCAAAATGGGACTTTGGTGATGGGCTGGCACCTGCAATCTCTCCAGAAACACCTTGCCATGGAGCTGTAGTTTCAGACAGATTAATTCCTTTCTTTCAAGGAAGCTCCCCAAGCAGCTGTGGGGAGGGAGGGTTTGCTCCACAATCAGCAGTGCAGTGTGAAATGCAGGTCTGAGCATGCAGTTTCTTCTCTCTCCTCTTAATCCATGCAAAACCAGTGAAATTTGAAGCTCTTTTATTTCCTCTAGAGAACCTCTTTGAAAGAAAAAAAAAAAAAACAACAAACCTTCTTGAACTTCAAGCTTGCCCTGTTTTCTGAGTGCTTTTTTTCAATTTAATATCAGTTTTAGAACGAAAGATTTCTATGCGAAAGCCAAGAGAGGAGCTGGTAAAAAGAGGGGTTCTGTTGGAAGAGCCTGAGCAGGGTGAGTCTGCAAATCTTCTGTCTGTGTCTGTGTGGCTGCTCTTCCTCTGGCCAAACCTCACCCTTGGGAGACAAATTTAAGGGCTTTCTGCTGAAGTGGTTCCTGTGTGCCTCACCCTTTTCAATGCTCTCTCTGGTCTGATTTCCCACCTGGGAGGAAGGCAGCCTGCTCAGGGAGGAGGATGGTGCTGAGGAAGTGCAGTGTCTGTCTGGCACCTTCCTGCAGGGAGGGAGGGCTGTGCTGTGCTCACTTCCCATCCCGTCCTGCTCTGTGTTCTGCTCCAGATACCTTGTGCTGTCCTGCCAGCCTCTGCTGTCACACTGTCACTCACCATCTCCTGCTGTTCCAGATGGGAGAGGTACTGCCCCCGGGGCTCAGGCTGGGGAAGAGTCAGAAATGGGGGAATTCTGAGCTGCTTGGGTAGGGGCATATCTTCCAAGAGGTGCTTCATGGTAGGGTGTCATCGTCACCACTAGGCTTATTGAAGTTTGCGCTGCTGTCTAGGAAGTCTTATCCCCTTTTCTTTCATCTTTGATGTCTCCAAGTTGGGATCATGCTGCCAAAATAAGTTATCAGATCACCATCCACTCACCTGCCTGGGATTTGTGTGATGTGGAAAAGTGGTGAGGAAAGCTGGATCATACTGTTCCTCTCTCCCTTGCTAAAAACTTTGGATAACCAGAGGCAGCTGCTGCCATAAAAATCTCTGTCTCATCATTGAGTTTCAGCCCTGGCTGGGGAGGAAACTCCCTCTTGTTGCTGTTTGTGCCTGCTGCATTTCAGGGAAGGGCAGTGAGTGAGCGAGGCAGTGCCATCTGCCAGCTCCTCACAGGAACCAAGGCTGCTTCTTGTGCAAGAGAAATCCTGGGAAGCTTCTGAATAACACCAGGTTAGGGAAGGGGAGGTAGTACTTCGGAGGGAGAGGAAAGGTGAGGCGGGCAGTAGAATAAATTTTCAAAACTCAGAACAACAGAGTGTGCTGGGGTCTATCACCTGGAGAGCATGGATGCCACACACTCCAATTCCTTCAGAGATGGCAGACTGAATTGAAAAAGATTTTTAATTAAATGGGTGATGTATTTATTTAAGTTTTCTTGAGTTGAAAATCAGTCCAAATGGGCAATTTCCCCTTAGAGGTGGATGCTGAGTCTTTTTCTGAGAGTAATACTGTCAAAAATTTGTCCTGTCAGGGCAGTTACCGAGAATGGTGGAGTATTTCCTCATGGGGATTAGAAATTTCAGGGCCCTCAAAAGCATGGGTTGGACTGGATGGGTTTTTTTCCAAAAAGAGGTCTTGCTTTTAACACTGGGAATTTGTAAAAGCAGAAATAGTCAAAGTGAGCTACATAAAATTCTAGAGCTGTGTTATTACATCTGATTAAAACAAAGGTAAAGTGAAGAAATCTGCCTTGCTGATGTTTTGGGCTGAGCAGTGAATTTTAGTGCCAAATTTAGGGTAGAAACAAGGAAAACAGAAGTGCTTCCACTAATCTGAAGAGTTCATGAAAGTCCATTATTGCACATGCAGTAGATGACTCGGCTCGTGTGGGAATCTGCATTGCAGCAGGGAATTGGTGACTGCTCTGTGGTGGAGGGTGGATGCAAAAGCTGCTGGAGATTTATGACTTCAGTTACAACTTCCTTGTGCTGCAGCACAGCACTGGGCACACCAATCTGTAACACAAGAGCAGCAGGGAATTGGTGACTGCTCTGTGGTGGAGGGTGGATGCAAAAGCTGCTGGAGATTTATGACTTCAGTTACAACTTCCTTGTGCTGCAGCACAGCACTGGGTACACCAATCTGTAACGCAAGGGCAGGGCAGGGAGAAGAAAAACCCTTGGTAGCATACAGTGCTGTGTGATTTACTCATTGGCAGTGAAATCAAGGGCTCTCAGCTGCAGCTGGTTGGGTTGCTGTGCTGTCCTGTGCAGAAGGTGGCTGAAGACCAGCTGGTTCAGAAGCCAGAAGGAAGGTGCTGTGGCTCCATGGTGGTTGAGTCAGCTCAGCCACCTCTCCTCTCCCCTGCCTCCTGAGTGTTTTCTTTTGCTTCTCTGTCCTCCCATCCCCTTGCAGATGGTGAAGAGCCAGAAAAGCTGAACCCGCCTGCGCTGAAGAATGGCCACACTGTCCCCATTGGGGGCCCTGGGCTCTGTAACCTGCCCAGCCAGGAGGAAGAGGCCACAAAGCTATCCAGCCTTAGGAAGGCTGCTCCAGTGGAGGAGCCTAAGAAGAGGCAGGGTAAGAAACCAGATGTGTGCAAAATCAGGGCTTCACATTCTCCTGTAACCACTTTTGAATTCTCATCTGATCCTTCCCACCCTCAGCAGGCCCTCTGGTGCCTTAAACTGAGCTGCCTTTCTTTGCAGGCTCCTCCAGCAGCCACCCTGGGCCTGAACTGGAACCACCTCAGGAGCCACATGTTCCCAGACAACCTCTGCTTCCTCCAAAAAGACCTCCCTCCACTTCCCAGGAGGCAAACGAAGTACAGGCAAAGGATCCAATACCTGCCAGCAGCACTGCAAGAACTGCCCCCTTCAGCACAGCCCCCACAGCAGCAAAGACAGTCAATTCCACAGCTGCCCCTTCCCCAGCCCCCAGGACTCTGCTCCCTGCTCCTGCCAGTGCCAACACTACTGCTCCCACCAGTACAACCAGCACAGCTCCTGCCAAACAGCCTCCCGTCCCTCCTCCCAAACCCAGAACAGAAAATTTCGTCAACAGAAATAGCAACTCACTAATAGGTAAGTGACCCCATAAACTGGTTTTTGTACCCTGTGATGTTCTGGAGCCACTGCTCCAAGACTCTCTTCCCCTTAAAAGAGAAGATTTTTAGTTGCATCAGAATGTCTGACCATCTTTCCTGAAAACAATCCAGTTTGGATGTAAATCTGCCGGTGTTCAGCCAGGACACACACTGGGAACAGTGTGTAATTACTGGAGTCTTCTGCCATGAGTATCCAGTCTGTTCCCAACAGCTACCTGCAGGAAGGAATCCCTGCCTGCCTGTTCTCTGGCAACTCTTAAGAGACAGTGTCTGAATGTTGATGCTTCACTGGGGGCTGGGATTGGGGAATGGTGGATGAGGTTTTGTGGTTAGTGACAATTTCTTCTTTCAGCTGCTTTTGGGGAAAAAAACCAGCCCCGAACCAAGAAATAAACCCAAAGAATGCACATCACACCAAATAATGTCTGGCACAGCTGTCACTGCCAGGCCCTGTGGTTTCCACTTAGGGCAGAGAGCAGGAGCTGGTAGGGATAATTCAGACTTCCCTGGTTATACTCAGGCACCTCCTTTAAGGTCTCTGGCTGGGCTGTTGACATATGAGTCTTGTCCCATGGGTAAATCAGCTTGGCTGTAGTTTGAACTGAATCTTCCCATTTAGAGAATTAAATGTTTTTATCTCTGTAATTTTTCTAAGCAGAAGATTTGGTGAGAGTTTCTTAAAGCTCATTTAATCTCTGTTGGAGTTCTGGGGATCTTAAAGATGCAATTTTGAGAATTGGTATGACTTCCATTCAGTGATGGCCTGTTGGCATTTCAAGCAGTTCTTTCACAGACACCTCCTAATCTTTGGACAGGGTTAGCAGAGGTTAGCACAGATCAGGAGGGAGGCTCCTGGGAAGATCAATCTGACAGTTTGCACTGTTATCACAGAAACTGGAGGTGTTACCCAGGTGTGGTTTGAGAAGCAGTGCTGGATGTGCAAGTTGCCAAATAGCCTGGGCCACTGCTTTCAGTGTGGACAGATTGCTCTGCTCTGCTTGGGGCTCACCTTGCTCTGGCAGGTTTTGCAAGTGACCTTGGTATGGTATTAACAACCCCCATGTGCCAGACCAGCTTGATTAGCCTGACCATGCTTGAGCACTCCATGAAATACCTTCTTGTTTTCTTTAAGCTGCTTGCACACACTGCAGGTGGCATTTGAAATACCCCAGCTCTAATTGGAGGAGGTACTTGTGGGACAAAAAATGTGGCTGGAAACAGCAGCGTATCCAACGTGTTTAGAGCCATCCTGCCTCTTCCCAACAGCATGGGCTGGGCTGGGAGCAGCTCTGGGGTTTCAGGGGAGGAGAGAACCAGCAGTTCTCTTTTGTCCCCTGGGTATGAATTCAGATGCAGAGGAGGCTCCACAGCTCTCTAGTCTGGCACAAAGGAACTGGATCTGTGGTGTTGCTTTGAGCCTTGTGTTGTCGCTGTTGTTGAACAGCAGGAGTGGAATTGGCTTTGTGAGCTCTCCACGGTCTTTGGTGCCTGCTCTGACTGCAGGGGGGTCCTTCTGTGCCACTGTTACAGCTTGGGAGGGAGTTTCTGTGCAGGTCACCCCTTTGTCTGTCCCCACGATGCTCATTCCCTGAGCAGTTCTGGTGTCTCAAGCAGCAGCTTCCTTCTGCCAGCTCCTCACTCCCTTTCAGATTTTGCTCTTACCCAGAGGTGCCTCAAGCCTGGTCCTGCCAGCCTTGAAGCACTACTCAGGAGACACAGGAGTCCCTTGGGCAGGAGCTGAGGACACTGTGTTTCGCACAATCTGGTCCTTAATCTACAAGGGGAAAGTCTAAAAATGCTAAACATCTCACAAATGTGCCCACCTCTCTCCAGTTATGTGGCCTTATCTGGGGAAACTCTCCCACTTGCAGCACCCTCTCGTGGTGTCTGCACTGCAGATTCCCCAGCTCTGTTCTGGGGGCATCCATGTGTCACTGTCACCCGCCCCAGGGAAATAAGGTGGCAAGTCTCAGCCGCTGTAGGCAAAGCCTCTGCAAGCCCCAGAAGCCATGGACACATGGATGTTAAAAGCTGCAAACTCCTAAAGCAGCAGCAGTCTTTACTGCTGCAATTTCCCTAGGAACAGAGAGAGGTTTGAGGATCCTGTGACTGCCCACTGCAGGCATTTTTCATATCTCTATTTCTTCCTCTCTTCTCCATTCAAACAGCAGATATTTAAGACTAAAGGCTTTGGGTATTTTTCGAAGTTTTTCTAGTTACTTTGTAGCAGCAGATGAGTTTATGTGGGGCTTAAGGAACAGAGCTCAGAGGGAGTAAAGCAGAACCTCATCCTGACGTGGCAGATGGGTGTTCTTGGGCTGGGTCTGATGGATGAACACAAGGGGGGAAGCACGCTGCTGCCTGCAGCTGTGCTGATTTTTGCCTCTGAGAAAGACTTTAAGACTTTCTGAGTCTTCCCAAGACGTTCTTTAATGTGTAGGGGAACCGCTAACACAACTGGAGTCTGGGGTGTCCTGGATGTCTTGGATTCCTTCTGTGCTGTAAATATAGCCATAAAGTGCCCAAATAACTGCATTTGTGAGCAGGCTCCTGTGCTGTCTTTCAAGGGCTGGTGCCATTTCTCTCTCTCTGAAGCAGCAGGATGCACAAATCTCTCTCAGCCTGCTTGTTTTTGGCTGCCCTCCCAAGTCTTACCTTTGCTGCTAGAGGGACAAACTAGGGCCTTGTAACCTGGCTATTTCTGGTATGATACTCCAGTAAAAAGTAGCAGAGAATGCTTAGTCCAAGGCTCTGAGTGCATTGCTGTGCTTTTTCCACTGGTGAAGGTTATCTGGAAAATACCCTGTTAACATTGTGGCTTTTGTGGTTCTTGTTTTCAGCTGAACTTTCCCAAGTAATGACCAGTGGTACAGCCTTGTCCAAGCCTTCCCCTCCTCTCCCTCCAAAGAGAGGCCTCCTGCCTAACAACACGTCAGAGGCTGTCACCTCTAAGCCCCCAAATGACAGGACAGTGACAGCAAGTCGCCCCGCACCGATTCCACTGCACGGGACCTCAGCTTACCCACCACCTTCGCCCTCGCCGCCACTGCCCACCCACGTCCCCCCTGAACCTCCACGCGTGGCCCTGCCCACCTCCACCCCTGTCCCAGACCCACCGTGCTCCCTGGACCTGCCCAAGGAGACTCCTCCTCTTCCTGAAGACTTCAGGTCCATGGAAGTGTTGAAGAGGACAGCAGAACAAGGGTTTGGTGAACCCCACGTGCTGCCTCGTCTGCCCCAAATCCCACTGCACATTCGTATCCAGCAGGCTCTGGCCAGCCCTCTGCCTGTCACCCCACCTCCCGAGGGGTCCCACAGGGCTCACTCATTGCTCTTTGAGAACGATGGTTTTGGAGAAGACAATGGCACCCTGGGCAGGACGAGGTCCCTGCCTGTCACCATTGAGATGCTCAAAGTGTGAGTACCTCCTTGTATGTGTGCCTGCTCTCCCAGCTCCTGCAGCACTGTGATGGTGGGGACAGCTTTGGGCAGGGCTTAGGTCTCTGCTGAAACCATTTTCCCTGTTGGCCAAATCTGTGTTTCAGGCTCTTAAGAGCCAGAGCATCTTCCCCATTAAATTACCCCTGGCTTTGGGATTTTATTGCTCACAAAGGCAAATGGGTTCCAGACTACAAACACAGGCTGATGCCAGGAATCCAGGCTGGGATTGTCTGTAACTGCACCAATACCAAACAAGGTCCCAGATTCCATCCATCTGTGGCCTTCCTTAGCCTTCCATTTGGCTGGGTAAGTGAGAAAAGAACTGTCTTGTGTTATAGCAGAGCTGAATCCCCAAGTCACAGAAGTAGTGGGGTCAGAGGGTGGTTTGGTTCTGCAGAACCTGCCTCTGTCATTTCCTTGGCCAGAGCCCCCTGTGCTTTGAAGAGAGGGGACGGTGCAGGATCCTGCAGTGGCTCTTGCACCTCTGGATTTCTGGGCTTCCCTGGGGGGAGCTAAGGGTGTATTTATTCCAGGGGTATTCTGCAGGCCCTGTGCCAAGTGTTCAGAGGTGTAATAGTGTGCTTCTCGTTAGTCCAGACGATGAGGAAGAGGAAGATGATGACCAGGAAGAGGAACAGAATTCAGGTCCTTGTGTGTATATTGGAGATGTGCCATCTGTCACAGTCATCCCCAAACTGGTACCCCAGGTCCTCCCGGAGGAGCAGGAAGGAGACGAAGGGATGAGTGACTCTGACTCGGAGGGGCCCATCCTGTATAAAGATGATGAGGATGAGGAAGAAGATGAAAGCCATAACAGTAAGACTTTGACATTGCAGGTGTCATTTTTATTGCTCTGCTGAACTTGTGCCTGGCTGCACTGAGAACTGCATCAAAGCACTGGTTCCCACAGCGCCTCAAAGCAGCTGGTCCTTGGTTGCATGATGTAGCACATGTCCTCTGCCTTGCTTTTTCCAAGGCTCTGCAGCCAAACCTGTGCAGTCACCTGCTGAGTGCACCCTTTCAGTTGCAAATGGCTCCTGTGACAGCCTGTGCTGTCCCAGCCCCTGAGGTGGGACAGCATTAGGTGAGCATGTGGTGTCACACAAAAAGTGCTGAGCTTGGGAAGAGCAAGGAGAGAGGACGGCTCTGCCTCAGGGAGAGCACAACTCCCGGGGCACAGGGCTGGGATTGCTGTGGCAGGCTCGGTAGCCTTGAGCTGCGTCCTGTCGCTCTCCCTGTCCACAGGCACGCTGGCCAACAAAGTGAAGAGGAAAGATACGCTCGCTATGAAGCTGGGGAACACAACCGCGCCGCAGGAGGAGAAGATCATCTTCCCTCGGAAGAGCAAGGAGGAGTGGAACGAAATCCGTCACCAGATCGGGACAACGCTGATCAGGTACAGATAACGATGATGATCAGTGTGTGCAGAGTGCGGGTGGACAAAGCTGGTGCCTTGTCCAAGCAGCTTGTGCTGGAGCAGGGTGGGTGGTTGGGCACGGCAGCTGGAGCAGGGCTGGGAGATTGTGTTGCTGTTCCTCATTTATTAGAAAAGTTGGGAGTTCCTCGGGGAGTTGAATAATATCCCCCTGACAGGCCCCTGTTTCCAGAGGTCAAGTGGACTGAAAGGGGAAAATCTCAAGGATTACAGACACGTAAAACACAGGTGTTGATAAAAAGGTGTGGATGGATGCAGGGTGGGTGCTGGTGGCGGATGAAGCTGGGACTGGTGGCAATCCAGGCTCTGCTGTCTGAGCTCCTTGCAAGGTTCTGGGCTGGAGAGCCCATAGCCCTTCCCAAAGCTGCACCAGTGGCCGAGCAGCTGTTTGACAAGAGCATACTGTAAAACAGGGCAGCAGTGGTGCTCAGTGGTGAGTGAGGAGTGTAGAGGAGGCTAGTGCACTGAAACCAGGCAGTTTTATCCTTCATCTGCTACTGATGAGTGACCAGATACAATGTTCTGTACTTGTTGCACTTCTCTTCAGGCGCCTGAGTCAGAGACCAACTGCAGAAGAACTGGAACAGAGGAACATTCTTCAGCGTGAGTAGCATTTGTCTGGTGGTCCTGAGAAATACCATAAATTTGCCTTTAGCATCTTAATGTATCAGGTGGGGATGGTTTTAAATTGAAAGAGATTTAGATTAGATGTTAGGAACAAATTCTTCCCTGTGAGGGTGGTGAGGCCCTTGGCACAAGTTGCCCAAGCAGCTGTGGCTGTCCCATCTCTGGAAGTGTCCAATGCCAGACTGGACAGGGCTTGGAGCAGCCTGGGAGAGTGCCCCTGCCATGGCAGGGGGTGGGACTGGGTGATCATTGAGGTCCCTTCCAACCAAACCCATTCTGGGATCATATGATTATGGACAGCATAGCTGTCCCATGCCTGCCACCTCAGAGAAGAGTGTGTGGGCTGGTTCAGGCTCTGCTGTTACACAGCAAGGACTGTGAACGGTGTTTTTGTTTGGGCTGGACTTCTGTGTTCCAGACATTACAGCATTGCCTTGCATGATCTCTAAAGCAGCAGTGCATCACAAAGTCAGGACTGTTTCTCTTGGCCATATCTTGTTCTGCAAAAGTTTTAAATAAACATCTCGAGGAAATGGGAATGTCAGTTCAGGAAGTTTCCATTTAAAATATTTATCTGTGCTATTATTTTCTTTTAAACTATAATAGCTTTGTGAAGGAGCAAGCTGCAGTGGCTTGGATGTATTATGGTGATACAGCCATTAATTGTTGAGGTGAATGACTCACTGGTGCTGGGTAAGGGGCCAGTTCAGGAGGTGACGCAGGGTATTGAGTTGAACTGCACTCTCTGCCTGTCCTAAGCCTTTAGATCTGTAGATAATCTGATCCAGCTCAATACTGTCTTTTGGTCAAGCCTAGAGAGCACTTTCCAAAGCCTGATGCTTACATGAAAAATGTTTTTTCCCCTCTTGGCAGCGAAAAATGAAGCTGACCGTCAGGCTGAGAAGCGCGAGATCAAGCGGCGGCTCACCAGAAAGGTACAGCAGGCTCCCGGGCGGTGCCAGCGGCTGGCAGCGCTGCCGGGCGCGGCGGCACTGAGCGCGCTGTGGGGACCGTGCCGGGGGCGTCACGGGGCTCTGCTGTAGGGACCGTGCTGGGGGCGAGGCACGGGGCTCTGCTGTAGGGACCGTGCTGGGGGAGTCACGGGGCTCTGCTGTAGGGACCGTGCCGGGGGCGAGGCACGGGGCTCTGCTGTGGGGACTGTGCTGGGGGCGAGGCACGGGGCTCTCGTGTAAGTGTCCCCAGTGCCCTCGGGCTGTCGCCCGCGGTGAGCCCTGGCACCGGGGCTGTGTTTTTGTCAGGGACAGATCTGAGCTGGCAGCGAGTGTAACAAGCGAGATGAGAACTAAATCTGGCACCTGATACTTTAAAGGTTTGCTGGCCTGGCTGCTTTAACACAGTGCTTCAGCAGCCACCGCTTCACACCAGGCTCCCTAAAATCCATTTCTAAAGTAACAGCAGTGTGGGAGCTGAGCAGAGTAACAGCTGCTTTTAGCTGTTACATCCAAGTTACTTGAGATTGTTGCTCATGGCTGCGAAAAGCTTCCCCAAGGCCTGTGGGTGTGAAGTGTGAGTGCTGCCATTGCTGAAGCTGTGTTTAGTGGTGTTGTGCAGGGCTCACTCTTGTAGCAGCTGTTCCCACACCCCTCAGTGTCCTTCTCCATGACAGTGTGGCCCGGGTTCTGCCCTAGCCTGGCTTTGTGAGCCCAGTGGGAGTATCCAGTCTGTGAGAGGTTTATCTGTTCCCTTGCAAACTGCAGGCAGGATCTGCTAGTGTCTGTGCATAAGGCACAGTGAGGGAACTAGTTTTAGTTTTGCTTGGGGTGCTTAGTCCTGGATCTGCTTTGTGAACAAGGCTCACACTGCCCTCCTTTGTTTTTCCTGGTGTTCAGCTTAGCCAGAGGCCTACAGTGGCAGAGCTGCAGGCCAGGAAGATCCTGAGGTTTAATGAATATGTGGAAGTAACAGATGCTCAAGACTATGATCGGCGAGCAGATAAGCCTTGGACAAAGCTGACACCAGCTGACAAGGTAACTGAGAGTGTCCTGTCCCCCATGAGGAGCCACACCAGGGTGGCCCACACAAATGGCTGTGAGCCAAGGAGATTTGCTTTGTTCCTCTGGCTTCACTTCATCTTTCCCTCTGCCACCCCACCTGAGTGCCTTCACTTGCATGTGCTGTCCCAGCTCTGCTTCCTGCTGCCTCATGGCAAGGTGGAGCCCAGGTGGGCACAGTCTGAAAGCCTGCATGGCTTCTGCCTCAGCTTCTGAGTGATGTACGCATCATAAAACATGGAATCATTAAGGTTGGAAAAGCCCTTTGAAGATGATGGAGTCCAACTGTTTACCCAGCACCACCATGCTCACCAGTAAACCATGTCCCCAGGTGCCCCATCTGCACATTTTTGAACAGTTCCTGGGATGGTGATTCTACTACAGCCCTTTCTATGGAGAATTTTTTTCCTTATATCTCATCTAAACTTCTTCTGGTTCAACCTGAGGCAGTTTCCCCTTGTTCTGTCACTTGTTACCTGGAGAAGCAACCACCCCCCAGCTGTCTTGACCCTCCTGTCAGGGAGGGAGTTGTAGAGACTGAGAAGATGCCCCCTGAGCCTTCTTTTCTCCCGGCTCAGCCCTCCACCTCGCCCAGCTGCTCTTGGTGCTCCAGACCCTTCCCCAGCCCCACTATCTTTTCTCCACACAGCAGGGATACTGAGTATTGGTCACAGCAATGCAGTTCCCTGCAGGCTCCAGGAACTGGCAGGGAACTCTGTCCTTGTCGTCCCAGGCCACCTCTGGGGACTGCCCAGCCCTCATCGGGGAGGGGCAGATTAAATTCAGTTTGGTGTTAATGGACTGTGAAAACTGGGGTGGCTGCTGCAATCGGAGCCCTTTTCTTTACAAAAAATTCTCCCTCTCTGTGCAGGCAGCCATCAGGAAGGAGCTGAATGAGTTTAAGAGCTGTGAAATGGAAGTGCACGAGGAGAGCAAGCAGTTCACGAGGTGAGAATGTGTTAAGCTGAGAGTTTTCGTCCTGATGGAGCTGTCGGAGCTGTGCTGCAAGGACAGTGCTCAGTGGCACAACACTGAAACCTTAGAAAAATTATTTGTGCAGCAGTTGGAGATTGAATGTCCCTGTCTGTCTCAGTCCTGGGGGGAGACTGGAGCAGCAGCAGACACAGAGTGAGTTGTTTTTCCCTTAAACTGGGGCTTCCATCCTGGAGGCTCAGTGACCAGTGTCTAGTTTGAGGTGTATCTGAAGCTGGTGTGAAGCTGCAGCTGGAGTGAGCTTTTCTGGGGCGAGAGATGTGCAGCCACAGCCACACAACTACTTGCTAATGAGTTACCTCGGATGTAATCTATGTAATCGGGTCTGGATCACAGCCCAAGTGATTCCTTTCCTTCCTGCTCTGTGTGGCAAAGTTGAGTGCAGAGCACAGGAGGTGAAATTATATGATGTTCACAGCTTCCCGGAGGGCTGAGAGTTCTGAGATAATTCAGTTTACTCTCTGGCCATCTGGGGTGTCTGAGTAACCATTTAACCTGAGTTCCAAGGATAACACTCAGATTTTTCACTTGGCTTTCAGATACCATCGACCATAATGTTCCAAGGAGGGAGCAAGAAACCCGCGCGGGCTGGAAGTTCTCTGCATCCCTCTCCAAGCAATACAGTGAGGGTGGAACCTCAGCTCGTCCAAGATTTGCCTTCCAAACATATCCAGAAAGGGCTTTCGGCCAGGGAAGGGGAATCCTGTCTGAATGTAGCATTTCACTGGAACAAACACATCTCTGACGCCATCAGGCTGGAACTGACGCTGTGCCTGGCGTGGCTCAGCAGTAGGGCTCGCCAGGAGGCCGTGCCCAGCTCGGACCCCTTCCTCCCAGCTGGCACAGACTTCTCTTGGGGAGCGCAGTTCCTCATTCCCTCCTCCCTTCCTGAGGAGGGGAGATGAAAAGCAAAGGCAGCTCTGGTGTTGGGAAGCTGAGGAGAGCATGTGCTCAGAAGCAAATGTGTGTATATTAGCTGTGTACAGAGAGCCCTGGCAGACAACTGACATGGCACTTGCTGGTTTTTGGGGGTTTTGCTTTTTTGTCATGTCCTCAATGCCCTGAATCACTACTGACCAACGGTTTGTTGTCCTGGAAGGGAACTGTGTAGATATTAACATATGCTGCATCTTTTTGTTAAAAAAAAAAAGAAAAAGAAAAAAAAAAACCCAACATATGTATAAATGCTCTGCACTCTCTCACACTTGCTGTGATCTTAATAACAGATCTTGAGATATTTAGGCTTGTTTAACAAATTATAGAACCAGGAAAAATGACTGTTGCCTTTTTAAAACTTTTTAATTTGGGGAAACTGTGAGAGTAGTCAGTCCTTTTTATTGTGGCTTTCTCTCAAATGTTTTCTACTCTCCCAAATCAGGGTTGAAGCTTGCCTTTTTCTCATTTTTACAGCTAAACCTACTGGAATCTTGATCGTTTCACTGTGTGGGTCAAAAGGAGGGGAAGAAAAGGTTTAAAAAGTGACCTTAAAAAAACGGTATTTCTCTTCTGAGAGAAAAATTCTTCCTCTGTGCGGGTTAAAAAAAAAAAACAAACCTGGTAGGGCCACTGCTGTATTATGCACAAAACTAAACGATCTGTGAGATGCCACTTGTGCGGGGGTTTGGGGTGGGGAAGGGGGGCGGGAGGAGAGAAGAACTTTCTCTTGTTCACAGAGCAGTGTGGCAACGCGCCGGCCACGGCCCAGCATCCGCTGGGGCTCTTCCCTCACGGCACCCCCTGTACAGCCGCCATTACATTGTATATCAGTCTCCGCAACAACAGATTTTAATTATTAAATAAAAGTATTTTAGAATTTTTTTTTCTTAAACCCTGCTTGTGTGTGGTTGTGTCTTTTCAAGCGCTCTCAGTCGGAGCCTGACCGGCGGCTCCTGAGGGGGCGGAGGGCGCTCAGCCATGGCGGCGGCGCCTCCCCTGCGACCGCGGCTTTTCGCGCTCTTCCCACTGCGCATGTGCCAACCTCTCTTGCAGCCATCGCGCAGGCGCGGCTAGCCCGGCCCTTTCCGCCGGGGGTTGGCCCCGCCGCCTATGCCCATATACGGTTTATCCCCGCCCCTCGTGCGGGACGCACGCGCGCATTTCTGCCCCGCCCCCGCGCACTATAAAAATCGCCTCGCGGCGTGCCCCCGCCCTTTTCACCGTGAGGAGCGGGCATGGGGATTGGTAAGGTTCTCTCTGCTTTTACCCTTTTTTACCCTTGAAACCTTTTGTGTTGTTGCGGCGTGAGGTCCTGCTGACCGCGCAGGCTGCGGTGTCAGCGGACGCCCGCTCCATCCCCGCATTAACGCTAAAATACGCCGTGAGTTACACGTGGCTGTGGGTGCTGCGGAGTCACCCCGCGCCCCCTCAGCCGCCCCTCAGAGCCATTTCCTTTTGCTACAGGTACCACGAAAAGGCCGTTAAAGCTTGTTTTGTCCAGCCTGCACCTCCATCGTGAGTATTTCTCGTGTGGCCCCGCCGCGTGGTCGGCGGTGGGACGCGCGGGGGTCTGGGCAGGGTCAAGGTTATAAATGTTTAAAGCAAAGGCCCAACGTGGATATCCGGAGAAGTCGCTCTCTCTCGGCTCTGTCCGTGTGGCGCATGGGAGCGCAGGCCCTCGGGCCCGTGACGTATAGTCCCGTTCCACGACGTTGGAGAGCAAGCCGGGCCCCGAGCCTGCAGCCTGCATATTCCTACTGCTTCTCTGAGCCCTTGGGCCATGACAGAGGAGACAAACCATGCAGGAAACACTGACACGCGGGGCGGCACTGGGAGGGAGAAACACAAAAACCAGCTCCTGAGCAAATCCTTAAAGTGCCTTTTTTTTCTTTCCAGTACCAGAACTGAAAATGTGAAACACGATTTTTGAAGGTAATATCTGCGTTTAAAATGTAATATTCTGTGTAGTTTCAGTGACGCTTGTTGAATCATTGGGTCAAATTCCAGTCCCGACGATATAGGTGGTAGTAATGCAAGTTCAGACCGCAGGCTCCTAGCTTTGACCATTGTGTTCCATTGTGGATAGATGGGGAAAAGAAATTCCTGAGTCTTCAGGGGCAAAAAAAAAAAAAAGCGGTCATGAGTTTGGCAGACAGAAAAAAAAACCAGCTTTATTGTGGGACACGAGAAAAAATCAGGAAAAAACCCTCCTTTTTCCTAAAACATTGCAGGAGCTGCTGGGGCGAAGGAATAAAGAAAAATCCGCATTTAGTGGGGGAGGGTGAGTGTATTAAAGAGTCCCCAAGTTGGATGGCTGCCCTATTCCTGTTCATGCACTACATGTAATAAAATACAGCCGCAGAAACCAAAACTCAGTAGAACCAGGGATGTGTGGATTTATGGGTCTTGTAAAGCACGTGTGGCCCTGTCCCTTGGGGGACCTGCACTTGGGGAGTTGGAGCCGGGCCTGGAGTTGCACAGGTTGTGGGTAAGCTGCTCGGGAAGGAAAGGATGTGCCTAGGGGTTGGCTGGTGGGCTAAGAGCTGCTTTTGGCATGCTTCAAACTGGGAAGGGGGCTGTGGGGAAGCACGAGGGATGGGTAAATAAGGCGTGTGCTCTTCTGGGACTACACAGCTCCACATGGGTTCGACCCTTGGGGCCGGGATGTTACAGGGATGCGATGCCGAAGGGAGGTGGGTTATGTATGGGATGTGTGTGTTCAGGCCCTGAAATACAGCTCTCACTCTCACGTTGATGGCTGAATCTGTACCCGTCCGCGTTACAGACAACTCAATAAACTGAACTTGGCTTTGGCTTTGGCTTCGTGTGTGTTCTTGGTGGGTGAATACTAGGGAAAACTTCGTGCTCTGGGTGGTGCCTCTTTGTGTAGAAGTATAATAATGTCTCGGAAATGAAAAAGTGTGCAGAAACGCTCTGTGGCACATGTGAGCAGCCCTACCTTCAGTCCCGGTTTGGATTGTCGGGCACAAGGGCTTGGTCGAGAAGGGTTGGTGGGTCTGTTACCCGGGGTGGCTCGGGAGAAGCAGGGAGGGGGTCTCGCGTCTTCCCGCGGCCCGGGGTGCTGCGGGGGCTGGGTGCAGGGGAGCTGCCGGTGTGCGGTGGGTCAAACTGCATCAGCTGCGCGTCCTGTCTTGGCCACGGAGTCCCCCGGGAAGGGATCAGGGGCTGCCTGTGTATCTGCTCTTCCATCAAGTCCCGACGTGAGCCTGGGCTGGAGACCCGCTGGCGATGGCTCCCCGAAGGTTTTCCAGCCACATGGGCTGCGGGTGACCCCTGGGATCGCGGTCTGTGCATAAGGGAAGGCTGGTGTACCGGCCAAGGTGTTGGCTAGGTTCATGATTTTATTGGTAAATAAAAGGTGATGTGGCCAAATGGAGGCCTCTGGACTGGAACAGCAGAATTAATCGCTGGAATAAGGGTAATTGCATTGGATGAAGGGGGAAACTCGAAAGTGAGTTCTTCCCATTAACCTGAGAAATTTGGTCTAGTTCCAGTTTGAAGAGTAAAAGTATATTTTGTGCTTTAAGCAGCGGTAAGTTGCTGGAAAAGATGGTATCTCAGACTTTCTGGATTTCAGTAGTCTGTCGTTATCGTTCTCTTTTAACTACCTGTTTGCAGCAGCTCTGTTCCATCGCGGCCGGCTGCGGCCCCGGGGGCTGGAGGCATCTCTGCCCGTTAGAAACAGCCTGAGTTAGTGACACGGGTTTATTGTCCGCGGCCAGTATTGCCAACCGCGAACCCTGCCTTTTACCGCCTGTCCTTCTGTGTCTTTCTGTCCCGTTGTCCTGCCCCACCTGTCCTCACTGCGTCCGTCCGTCCGTCCGTCCCGCCGTCCGTCCCGCCGTCCGTCCCGCCCGACCTGCGGCAGTGACCTGACCTGGCCGCGCGGGACCGCCAGCCGGCAGGGGGCGCCGCGCCGGCAGGAGCCCGCGCGCGCATGCGCAGAGCGGAGCGCGGCGCGGCCGGCGGGCGGTGAGGGAGCGCGGCGGGGTCGAGCCGGGAGAGCGGCGGGAGAGAGCGGCGGGGACGGGGACGGGCATGGGGACAAGTGCGCGGCCGCGGGGGTCCCGCCGAGGCTCGGGCCGCCCTCGGAGCGGCCGGCCGGCCAGCAGGAACAGCTGCAGGCAGCGGCAGGAGCAGCCGGTCCGGGCTGTGGCCTGCGCGGCCCCACGTGAGGCGGCGCCGCGGGGAATTCGAACGGCGGGCGGGGGCGGGGGCGGGGCTCGGGCCATGCGGAACGGGGAGGGGGTGAGGATGCACATGCGGCTTGGCTCCCATTCTTCCCTTTTCCTCCTTTCCCGTTTTCCTTCTCCTTTCTTTTCCCTTTCCTTCACTCTTCGCCTGCCTGGACGTGAAACCTGGAGAGGTTCACATCTGCATGAAGTAGGGAGCACGGATGAAACACACAAGGAAAAACTTTCTATTTTCCCAGAGTAGGAGGAGGGATCAGTGTTCAAATCCCAACTCAGTCACCAGTCCCTCAGATGGTTTTTTTGGATTTAAAAAACAGTGAACTGCACGGTTCTCCAGGTGGGTGACTCCTTACTCCTGTTTTTGTCATTTAGATTCCAGGATGCCAGGAAGACGCAGAGAGCAGATCCTGGTGCCAGAAGAAGAGTCTACTGAGACGAAAAAGGTTAAAGGTAAGAAAAATCCCTTGGAATTTTTCTTCCACTTTCCCAGGGGTGATTTTCACCAGGAAACTTGTACCACCACATGTTCTTTCGCCCCCTCCCACCCTCAGTCAGCCACCCATCACACCACTCATAGCCTGAGCCAGGGTAACGTTGGCTCTTTTTGGCATTTAGATTCCAAGATGCCAGGAAAACGCAGAATGAAGATCCTGGTGCCAGAAGAATCTACTGAGACGAAAAAGGTTAAAGGTAAGGAAAATCCCTTGGAGTGGTCCTTCCACTTTCCCAGGGGTGATTCTCACCAGGAAACTTGTACCCCAACGTGTTCTTTCTCCCCCTCCCACCCCGCAGTCAGCCACCCATCACATCGCTCACAGCCTGGGCTGGTGTTGACCCTGGGCCAGGGTAATGTTGGCCAGCTGGGTCTGGGTGAAGACATCATGGAGAGGAAGAAGCCAGCTCTGGTCACGCTGCCAGAGATGGTGGTGCAGGTGGAAGCTGGAGGGATGCACACGGTGTGCCTCAGCCAGACTGGAAAGGTAAGTGCAGTGGGTTCTGAGATGTGTTCTGGAGCAGGGGGTAGGATCAGCCACTGCTCTGCCCACATCTTGTTGCAGCTCTAACGGTGAGCATGGTCTCATGTGGGCCACAAAATTTTAGGGGATCAAAAGGAGGACCTGGAAGGGACCTGCGAGAGAACTGGAGAGGGACTTTGGACAAGAGCATGGAGTGATAGGTCCAGGGGGAATGGCTTCCCCCTGACAGAGAGCAGATGGGTGACGCTGCCATTTTAGATGTGATACTGGGAAGTTCTTCCCTGTCGAGGTGGAGAGGCTCTGGTACAGAGAAGCTGTGGCTGCCTCATTGCTGGAAGTGTTCCAGGACAGGTTGGACAGGGTTCAAAGCCACCTCACCCAGTGGAAGATGTTCCTGCCCATGGCAGGAACTTTTAAGGTCCCAGACCATTCCACGCTTCTGTAATAATTCAGTCTTGTGAGTCTCTGTCCCCTGACTTCATACTCAGCCCGTTGCCCCTCTGAGCTCCGTCCTGACCACTTGCACCAAATCTGCAGATCTACACCTTTGGCTGCAATGATGAAGGTGCCCTGGGACGCGACACGTCGGCCGAAGGGTCTGAGAGCTCTCCAGGGCTGGTGGAGCTGCAGGAGAAGGTGGTGCAGGTGTCGGCGGGGGACAGCCACACGGCCGCGCTGACCGAGGACGGCAGGGTCTTTGTCTGGGGCTCCTTCCGGGTACGCTGATGCCTCGGATGCTTCAAGCTCTGCTGGTGGCTGCTGCTCCTGTGGCTCATCCCCGTGTCTCTCTCTTCCCTCAGGATAACAATGGAGTGATCGGCTTGCTGGAGCCCATGAAGACGAGCTCTGTTCCTTTGCTGCTCCGGCTCAACGCGCCTGTTGTCAAAATAGTTTCAGGTAAGCCAGTGTCGTTGAGATGGTCCTAACAAACAGAGCTACACCATGTATTTAAGAAGGCTTCTCTTCTATTTTAGCAGCATGCTGTCTTTTTATACCCTCTCACAAAGTTTACACCTGTTCGTTGGCCACAATAAATCAACATAATGTTCATTGGTGCAAGGTGGTCAACACCACTGTTTTCTGTCAGGATCTAACTGCAGGCCCCCTTGTTTATCTTTTGTTCTCCTCTGTTTCCATGCTGACAGCCTTGGTAGAACTCCTTTCAGGGGCAGAAGCTTCTCTCCTCCAACTAACCCTTTCTGACTCACAGACCAGGTGTGAGCCCCTTCCACAAGCAAGGCCCTGGGGTGTGCAGGGTCAGGCAGGTACATGAAGTTGTCACAACCCTTGAGGAACATCCATGACCTTTTCCTCCGTCTTGGCTTGTTCCGAGCCTGATACAAGGGTATACGTGCTGATCTCTGGCTCTTCCAGAGAACAGACCTTTTAGCCCAAACATATTTTAGCCCCAACAGATTCGCATATTGAGTTAATATTTGACCAGTCTGATGTAGAATGCCTTCCAAGAGTGGCCTGGACTGTGACTCTGTGGGGCAAGAGCACTTGCTCTCTAATGAGAGCTGGGTAGGCCGAGCACAGCAGCCAGGGTGCTTGTCCAGGGCCCAGGGGAGTTTGGGGCATACCTGTGTCCTTATCACCTTCCCAGAAAAACTGCTTTGAATTCCTGGGATCAGGAAGAGGGAGGTTCTGGAGTTTTAGGTGGTGGCACAATTGGTGTCGAGGTATCAAGTGCAGTAAACCTCATAAGCTGGGAACAACTGGGGTTTACCTGTGGGGTCTCAGCCTCCAGAACTTGCTGAAGACTTCTCTGTAACTTCTCTTTCCTTCCCGTCCCAGGAAATGACCACTTGGTGATGCTGACACTGGATGGTGACCTGTTCACGTGTGGCTGCGGGGAACAGGGCCAGCTGGGCAGAGTGCCAGCACTCTTTGCCAGCCGAGGAGGACGGAGAGGACTGCGTGAGTGGATGTAGTTCTCAGAGATGCATCCTTTGGCTCCAGCTCTGCCCTTTGCAGGGGAACAAAGGGACCCAGTCCCTGGTGCTCGAGGGCTTATGTGCAGTCAGTGATGTAAATGCAGTGAGCCAGATCCTTAGATGCAGGGAGGGTGTAAATCCTTAGTCCTTGTATAACACCTTGTCTCCTACTCCAGAGCGGATGCTGGTCCCCCAGCTTGTCCCTGTCAGAGGCAAAGGGAGAAGAAGCAAAATGCGCTTCCAGGACGCTTTCTGCGGGGCGTATTTCACCTTCGCCGTCACGCGTGAAGGACACATCTATGGATTTGGCCTCTCCAACTACCACCAGCTGGGTGAGCTTCACCTGTGTCCCTCCACATCTCCTTCAAGTCCGCAGCTGCCCTGGCCTGGTGGGGGGAGCTGCTGGGCACCCCAGAATCTAAACACTGGATGCACCAGAGCTGGAAATGGGGGTGGGGCTCACCCTGCCAAGCTCTGGATTTAGGTCCCAGCCCATGTGCCCACTGGGTTTGAACAGAAATTAGATTTTGGGGCTGGGCAGCTGTATTGCTCTGGTAGGGTGAGCCCCAGGGTGGATGGCTCAGTGCCAGAGCTGTCCATGCCCGTGGGCCTGATCCGCCCGGGTTTGTGCGTCCCACCCTGCAGGGACCCAGGACACCGAGCCCTGCTTCTCCCCGCAGAACCTCACGTGCTTCAAGAACTCCACCAAGTCTTGGGTTGGCTTCTCTGGCGGGCAGCACCACACGGTCTGCGTTGACTCTGAGGGTGAGTGACACTGTGACGGGTGGGCTGGCACTCACAGCAGGGTGGGAGGATCCCATGGCCCTCAACCCGGCCAAGGAGCTGTTGGGATGAGGGTGATGTGCTGGAGCCCTCCAAGCTCTCAGTGTTCAAGGAAACAAGGGTGGTGTGAGATTGCAGCGAAGGGAAGCTGACAACAGAAACCTGGACTCAGTTGTGAACTCTGCTCTTGCACCTATGCACCTTACTGATTTTGGGGAGCTAGAGGGTCTCTGTCCCACCCTGCCCCTTCTGGATGGGTCTCAGGGTGTGGTATGGAGGAGTGGTGCTCCTTCAGGAGTCAGACCTGGGAAGAGGTCCTGGTCTGCTTTGGCCCTGCTATAGCTTCTGCCCTCCTCAAGTCTTGTCTCTTGTGTATCTGCTGTGCTCCAGGTAAAGCCTACAGCCTGGGCAGGGCGGAGTACGGCCGGCTGGGCCTTGGGACAGGGGCAGAGGAGAAGAGCACACCCACAGTTATCCCGGAGCTCCCCAGTATCATCTCGGTGGCCTGCGGAGCGTCGGTTGGTTACGCCGTCAGCAGTGATGGTGAGTGCCAGGCTTTGGGAACCCTGCCTTCTGGACTTCCTTCATCCCTCCATCCCGCCCTACACACCATCACCACACCTGACAGCTGGGTTGGGACTGGAGCCAGGTCCTGGTGCCCATCACCTGGGCAGTGCCTGCCCAGATGTGTTTGTGGGCCTGTGGCAGCAGGGTTGGTCGTGTGGTGTTGACCAGGAGGGCATTGTTGGCCTGACAATCTCTTCTCTGATTCCACTGATGCCAGACCTCTGTGCTGTGGTGCTGCATCTGCCTGTGTGCAGTGTCTGCAGGAAGGAAGGTTTGGAATGGGCTGTGGGTTCAATTTTGTCCCCCAAAGGAATAAAAGTTCCTTGGCTCTGTGATGGAGCACCTGTTTGAGTTTCAAGTGCTCCTCCTCTTCCTCCTGCTTGTTTTGGACTCATAGAAACTGTCTGGGTGTGAGGTCTCCTTGCCATTGTGCAGCCACTTGGAGCTCAAAGCTCGCTTCACCTCTGTTGCAGGACGAGCGTTTGCCTGGGGAATGGGCACTAACTACCAGCTGGGCACCGGGGAGGAGGATGATGTCTGGAGCCCCGTGGAGATGACTGGGAAGCAGCTGGAGAACCGGCGGGTGCTGGCGGTGTCCAGCGGTGGGCAGCACACCGTGCTGCTGGTCAGTGACAAGGAGCAGAGCTGATGAAGTGACGCCCCAGCAGAATCACAGCACCCCCAGACCCCCCCCAACTTCTGCCTGGCTTGGGGAGCCGATTACCTGGGGAGGGAGGAGGCTCGTGGAGCTCGGCCCAGCAGCGCCTGCGTGGCTGGAACAGGGTGCCCATGGGTTCTCCCTGCAAGCGTTTGTCTGTTTTCCTGTGGTGCCCATGCTCTGTCAGCTCCCCGGGTCAGCTTGGTCCTAAACTGATCCCAGTTCTGTGCCTGGATGGATTTCCACTTCTTCTCGTCTGTTTTTTTAACATTTCCTGGCCCAGCAAAGCCGAGGGTTTTGTTCTTCACTCTGCAATCAGGTTTGGGTAATAGTCTCCCTGAGGTCCCCGTGTTTCCCAGATCTGGATGCTCCTCCACCCCCTTCACCTAAATACACCTCTCTGGCCTGGATTTGTTTGCTGCCACCCCCCAAACCCTTCTGAGCCCATTCCAGGTGGATCTGAAGGATCCACCTGCAGGAATGTGCCCAGGAATCTCTATCTTTTAATCCAGATCTTGTGGCTCCTGTGGGGATATTCTGCCTAGTGAGGGAGAATGCTGCTGGATGATGCCTAGCACCTTGTGACCTGCCTCCCATCCCTCAAGCTGAGGCCCCCCAGGCAGTGAGGCCAGGAGCAGGTTCCCCAGTCCCCATGGCCTGGAGCAGTCACCTCGCCACTGCTTTTTGCAGTCCTGGCCACTCCCTCTTTGCCTTTAGAAACCCAACCAAATCCATCCCACAGGTGGGAACACTGTTACTTTAATTTTTTCACTTTCCCTTGCTGAGGAAGGAGCTTCGTTTGCTGTGAGGGCCTTGCTGAGCAGACACTCAGACCCCAGCTGAGCATGGAGACACTGGGAACAACAGGACTCCTCCCCGTTGCCTCCCTGATCCAACTGGTCTTGTTTCCTGTGCCCAGCTTGCTTCATCCTCTCCTTATAGGAGGTGCCTTCCAGGTACCTGGAGTGAGGAGGGGTCTGCAAAGAACTAAATTATAGCAATAGGAGGGGGGGTTGTGCTTGGGAAGGGGGGAGGTGTCTGGGGTTATACAATGGTTCCGGAGGGGTTGGATTTTTTAAAAAAGAAAATGTATTTTGGTTGATGAATCAAGGCAGAAAGGACAAAAAAAAAAAAAAAAAGATCTTTTAACATTTGGAATAAACTGAGTTTTGATAAACCCGGGCTTTTGCTGCGCTTTGGAGGGCTGGGCAGCTCTCCCGTGGGGACGGTGGGGACAGGTGGCTGCTCTTTGGGGCGTTGTCCTGCTCCCGGCTGTGGCTGTGGCCTGCAGATGGCAGCAGGAGAACGCGCTGGGCCTGGCAGAGCTGGGATGCTCCCCGTCTGTCTGCCAGGCCACCCCTGGAATCTGTGGGTCTCTGGGAACACAACCAAGCCCTGGCATGTCCGTGCTGGGTGCTCCGAGCGGCCGGAGCGCCAGGTCGCTGTTTGCCTTTGATTCATCCGGGCAGGAGCAGGGTCCTTGGTGAGCTGGGCACCCAGAGCAGCTCAGCAGCTCTGCTGCTCCCGTGTGGGATGAGCTTGGATTTACATCAGGGATGGCCTCAGTGGGTCCAGCTCTGCCTGGGGGGCTGGGGGCACCCACCTCCCATCAGGTGCGTTTGTTCTGGTGGTTGCAGTCCTAGGCTTGCAAAGGACTTTATTTTTCCCTCCAAGCATAAGGTTGAGGTGTGGCCCCACAGGGCACGTTGTGAGGGATTGAGCCCATATTTTGGCATCACTGCAGGCTGAGCTGTGGGGAAGTGCTCTCTAATCCCATGGCTAATTTTGCTCCGTGGGGACCATCACCATTTGATTCTCTTCAGTGAAATGTGACCTGCTGGATACCTGATGGAGAAACTGCTCTTTGATTTGGGCTTGATTCCCAGCAACATTTATCCAAAACCAGCCTCAGCTACTGGGGAGATCCCACATCCCAGTGCTCCCAGTTCATCCCCAACATTGGCAGGTTTTTGCATCTATCTCCCACGTTTGGGCAGCAGGAACAAGATCAGAGGTGGCACAACTGTGTGGTCACCACAGGGCTGGATCCTGCCAGGAGCCAATGCAATTCCCTGCAGAGAAAACACAGATCATTCCCAAAAAAGATGGGATTGTACCCATCCCTGAGGGGCTGTTCCTGTTTCTGGAAAGGGGAAAACCTGTCTTTGTGAATGGGAAGCTTGTTGGTATATTCAAGAAATGGGAAAATGGCTGGGAGAGAACAATAAGATTTAAAATATTCAGAACTTATGAATAAGCAATTGTCTTGGGAACCAGTGACACTTCAGTGGGAAGCTGCTGGAAACTGGGGGAAGGATGAGCCCCCACACAGGGGGGAGAGGGTGGGTGAAGGAAAAGAGCTTAATTGAGGAAAGGGAAATGTCTCATTAACAAGGTTTAGTGCTCACAGAGTGACTTTGGGGGCATTTTGAGGATCGGAAGGAGGAATTTGGGTCCTGTGGAGTGGACCCCTGGCTGTGTTAGGGTCCAGCCTTAGTTGATGGGGAAGTTTTTCCAGCACTGACCCCTCCAGAGTCTCCCTCATCACCAGCTGGCAGCTCCAATCCCACTCTGGTCTCCATCTGTTGCTATTGGAGGTGCATAAAAGGCTTTTACTTTACAGACAAAAGCTGGGAAAGTGGAATTTGAGGGCTTTAGCATCCATGGGGGATGAGGCCTGGCAGTGTGAAGATCTTTTGGGCCCAGAATAAAAGCACTTTGAGTGTTTGTGGGGTTTGTGAGGGATTTTTTCCATGGTTTTAAACATGTTGCTGTTTTAGATAGAAAATTTCTGCCTATGCAGTTGTGCTGCTGGATCTGCAGGGAGAGAATTGCATCTTCAGAAGGGTTTGGAGGATACTGAGATTGTTTTCTTGTTATTCCTTTCCTGCCTGGAAGAGGAAATGAGCCTTAATTATGGCCAAGCTGCCTGCGACGGGGTTTAGTGATGGGTCTGCAAGTGACATTTGGTGGCTGCACTGGGCTGTCTCCCCAGCCATTAAGGCTGTAGCCTGAGCTGTATATCCCAGGACAACTGGCACATGCAGTGCTCTGGTAGAAGTGTCTTGGGTCTCTTTAGGATGAGAATTGGGCTGCAATAGTGATGTGGGGGTGTCTCTGCTCCCTTCCCAAACTGCTGACTGTGGGGGGAGAGAATGTAAGAAAATAAAGATGGTGCAGAAGGTAATCTCACCCCGATGAGCTGCAGATGTACTAATTACCAAAGAAGCCACAGCTATGCCCAGTGAGGATGAGTGCTATAAAAGAGTGGGTTAGGTGGTTGAGAGGAGGGTTGGAGTTTGTTGGCTGTGCTGTGAAGGAGTCAGTGCTGTGAGGAGCTGCCCATGAGAAATCACCAAAAATGTATGGAACTTTTTGCAATAAGATGACACCAGCTGATGTCCTGCTTGCTTTTCCATTACAACAAAATAAGGAAAGTCTCATATGGCTCACACAGCTCTTGGGAGCTGGGGAAGGGGATCCTGGCTCTTCCCCTGCCTGGAGGAGCTCCAGTGCTCACACAGCATCCCAGACATCCCCCATCCCCTCCCTGCAGGCTCCTCCCCGTCCCATTTGCTCAGGGAATAAAACAGTAAAAATTAAACAGAATTTGTAACTGAAAGGATGAAAAAAAAATCCTCTAGGAATTATTCACAGTGATTGTCTTTCCCTATTAAATGATGACAGGAAGGTGGGAGCTCTTGCTCCTGTCCTCCCCAGGAAAGCCAGATCCATTCATTTCCATCTGCATATTAATGCAATTCCAAAGTCAGCCTAAACCTGCAGACAAAGAAACTGGCATCATCATCATTAATCACAAGCTCAATACATCAGGGTTCATTATTTGGTGAATTAATTAAAGAAAAAAAAAATTGGGGAAAGGATGTTTCCTGCAATAACACGATTTTGGGCTGCAAATGTCCCTGAAACAGCTGGTTGGTGTGTGCCAGCACAGGTTGCTGCATAATTAATCTGGGCTGGCTGCTAGTTTAACAGGGCTGTGAAATCTCTGGAACTGGTGCCTGGCTCAGCTTTCCCAGGGTGCTGGGTAATGGACAGAGGTCCTTGAGTGGTTTTCACATCCACTCTGCACTCGTTTCTGTTGCTTTTCCGCTAAATCCTCATTTGTATTTAAATTACAAATGTAATTTGAGCCAGAATTTGGGCTGCTAGTCTTTTAAAATAAAATTATATCTTGATGACTGTTGGCAGAAGAGATTTTTGGTAACTGGGGCTTGCAAACAGTCTCAGCTAAAGGGCTTTGGGAGTTCACAAAGGTGAGTTTTTAGAATTTGAATTCAGAATCATGGAATGGCCTGAGTTGGAAGGGACCTTAAAGCCCATCCAGTTTCATGCCTTGACATGTGCAGGGACACCTTCTACTGTCCCAGGTGCTCCCAGCCCTGTCCAGCCTGGCCTTGGGCACTGCCAGGGATCCAGGGGCAGCCCCAGCTTCTCTGGGCACCCTGTGCCAGGTTATCCCCACCCTCACAGGAAAGAATAAATTTAGAGATAGTTTCATCACTCCCCAGACCACCCCGAGCCAGACCTTGCTCATTTTTGATGCCTGGGAGACACAGGAGAGCTGGAAACTGCTTCCTATTTCCGATTTTATTTTACTTTAATTTTTAGAAAGCAGGGTTCCTGTACAGAAATGCCACTGTAAGGCAAATATCCCAAGGGTTGGAGCTGGAAATAGTGTCTGAAGTACTTTGTGAGATGCTATGGATGCGGCGTATTCGGCTCCATCACACATGGAGCAGCTGCTGTAGTGGGAGGTGTGATGGGAGGCCTTGGGGTCACTCTAATTTCATACAGCTATAGACATACATATATATTTATAAAAGTACACAAAGAGTTCCCTCCGAGCATCCTGGCTGCAGCATGGCCCAGTCAGGGCAGGATCTCCCAGTTCTGTTTGCCTGCACTAGGATTTGTCCCCAGTTTTCCAGCCCAGCATCACATCCATGTCCAGGGCAGCCTTAGCTGCAGTCAGAGGTCTCTAAATAACACTAACCTGACAATGACATTAACTGTAGAAAGCTTTCTCTGGGAGCAATCCCAGTTTGAGGAACTCCAGGAGAATTTTTACAATGGATCTGGAGCTTTTTGAAAACAGTGTCTCTGAAGTGGCATAAGTTTGTCTTCCCATCTCCAGCTG